ACACAGTTTTTTATCCTAAGAGTTTGGATTCTGGTGTGCGGTGTATAAATTGGGAAATATTTCTATACGTAAATTTAATATTTATTCAATACCATTGCTATTAATTAATTGACTCAATTAAGAAATGTACTAATATAGCGTAACCACTTAATATTCCGACTGTATAATGTAGATGTACAATCCTGACAAAAGCAGACTAGATTCCCCATCGCGCAGATTTTGGTTTGATCATAGTTTCACCTTATGTAGTCATAATTAACTGGTAATCTTGAGTCTATCATGAAGCATTGCTATACAGGGTGGCAATTTGACAAGAAGGGTATTTTGGTTTTAGTTTTGCTCGGATTGCATTAAATATACAGTATCACACACAGTGAGTGCATATAGACATCAGGCTCTGGGATGTACGAACGTTTTAAACTTTAGACGTAACATGATGTATCTTTGTGAAAAAACACACCAACATGACGAAAACATCTAATTATTTTTTATGTGCATGCCATGCAGTATGTGTGTGCTTCTTTTTGCCTAGGAACTATATCAGTTGCATCTAAGTTACCACGGGACATGACTTTCTTTGTTACATCTCCATTCTAAAAACCTCCAGCTATATACAGATTATGGTCTGGCATTAGATGTTCTTTTATGTACTCACACAGGGACTCCGTGAGACAGGATGCGGCAGGACACTTTATCTATTTGTGAACTGGGCGCCCTGGAATAACTTCATGGACTTACGGTCCTGTGTTAGACTGATGTCCATTTTTCTCAGCAGTTTTCACAGGAAGTTGATGTTATATCGATCAAAACCACCAACTACTGCACTTGCACTTGAAAAACATGTCAACAGACCTGTTAAGTGGGTTCTGAAAAACGTCTTCGAATGCAAATTGCATCGCTTTAATGACGACCACGGAATCTCGTAAAATATTTTTATCGTGGTTCTTTATCAGTCAGTACTACTATCCACTCTTTCAAGCTTTGTCTTCCGCATGCTTCCATCTTCATGGAGTAGTGATGAACATATATGATAGCTTAGCCCATAACAAACTCAATCCTATTAATCTCTTCTTTTTCTAGTGCAATTGCTCTTCGAAACACCAATTCTGGTTTCAGATTGGTTGTGATCATATGTCCACTGCTCAGCAACTTTGATTTCTTGACCATTTCTTAAAATGTTAACCCCATCTTTTGACCAAAATCCAATGCAGAAGTCAGTGACAGTAGAATGGCTGGTGTGACATGTACATCTGTGGATATGTTGAGTAGAACACTCTAAGAATGTGAATCAATATCAAATGGATCTGTCATGTTATGCTTGAGATGGGTTACACGTGTTCTTCATTTAGCTTGATGGCTGCTAGTTTGGCCTCCTGACAAATTGAGGTTTCAATGACTTGTCGATGACGAGTAGGTGTCTAATGCAAAATAGTTTTTTTTCCCTTGTCAGGCCTGAATGTCACTGCCACTTTTATCATCTCTGACAATACAGCATGTATAATGGTAGCCAGCGGAAATGATTAGTGTGATTGCCATATATGGCATTATGCAAGTGAAATCAGTTACTGGTAATTAAAGGGCGGTGGTCGTCGCGGCACTCATGCGCGAAATATGAGTCTCGTATAAACAATTAGTACAAATTGAGAGATTACCAAGTTTTTATTAGATATTTTTGTTGGTGTTTGGAAGGTATCGAAGGAGTCGCCGGCAGTAATTAGTAGAAGTGACGTCCACTGCAAAATTCTTGTACTCGTGAATTCATTAGAAAAGCGCTTTTATAGATTTTAGGGGAAATCAATGTTTATCAATATAAATGTCACACAAATGTCATATACTTTTGCATGGATTGCCTATTTTTTCACAGAACGTATATGTTGTATATTTCATTTACTACTTTATGAAGCAACACATATTGCATGATATACTACATCCACGACAATCAAGTCAGCTGTCACTGGTAGTCGATGCATATATTAATCTTATCTTATCGTCTTATTACGTCTTATTTTTAAGAATTATAAGATTTCCATAACGTGAAATATTTGACATTAACACTGAAGAAGATTTGAAATGAAACATGGCAAGTCGCATAATGTTTAGGTTTTAGCTACTACCTCAGATATATTCTTGCTATTCTAACAATCTTTACAAATTAGAAGTATGATAAAACGTAAAATAAAATATAAAATACGATGGAATAATATTGTGAAATATTGGGCTATTTCAGGAAACTACCCTGCCCCATATATATAATACAGGTACGTGCCTCGTTACAATTTAGCATTAATGCGTGCATCTTCTCATATTAACTTATATATACTTTCTATATATACTTAAAT